CCATGCCCAACCCAAAATATCTGCACTAAATCGAAGAAGAGAAGCAGAAAAGAAAATTGCAGAAGCAGATAGCACTTTCAAATGTGCCACCGTCGGAACTGGTCAATCATCTTCAGTTTTTATTCTTCATTATCTCATCCATTATCTTGTAGGTGTTAGCTTTCAGTTTTTAATGTTATCTCAATTCGTAGAAGTAAGAAAGTTAGTTCATTTCATTGTGTATTTAAAGCCTTGAGCTGTTGAATGAAGGTAGTGAATTTTGACAGCAACTTTCTTGTTTAATTCTCACTAGAAGCAGAATAAATTTCTTAGCTCTCTAATTGGAACCTATCAATTGGTATCAGAGCATGTTTAATTGTGACTAACAAAAAAAGAATTGAGAACTTGGAAGCCAGCTTGGGCAGGTTGGAAGCCAGTTTGAGCCGAATGGAAATAAGGGTCACCGACAAGTTCCATAAGATCGAATATAACCTTCAACAACTCACGGAAACTCTGATGATGAACGAAGAAGGCTCCAGCAGCCATACCGCCAGCAGAAAGGGCCAAGCACGGCCGAACTGCGACGACGGCACGGAGAAAAGCGATGGGGGCTGACCGCCCTTCTACCCCAAAGTTTGCCTTCTTGGATGTTGTGTTGCTACTGGTCTTGGAGCAGTTTCAAACACAGCAAAAGTGGAAGTAGGCTCTATCGTTGTTGTTTTTGGTCATGGGACGGGTCTTGTTGCTGCAAATGGTGCAAAAGCAGCAGAAGCATCATGGACCATTGACATAGATATTAACAGCTAGAAGTTTGATAGAATAAAGGATTTCAGAGTCACGGAGGTTGTGAATCCAAAAGACCATGACAAACCAATTCAACAGATTCTTGTTGATCTCATTGATGGTGGGATTGACTACAGCTTTGAATGTACTGGAAATGCCTCTGTAATGAGAGCTGCTTTAGAGTGCTGTCACAAGGGTGGGGGAACCTTTGTTATTGTGGGGGTTGCAGCATCTTCTCAGGAGATATCAACTCGTCCTTTCCAGTTGGTAACTGAGCGCGTTTGGAAAGGAACATCTTTCGGTGGTTTTAGGAGTCGCTCACAAGTGCCTTGGCTTGTAGACAAGTACATCAAGAAGGAAACTGAAGGAGAGGACTAGAAAAGCAAACGAAAAAACGATTGACAAAACGAGCGAGAAACAAAAGAACTTCAGCGAGAGGCAAGGGATCCAGAAAAAGGATGAAGTGCACAGTCTTCCCAACCAAAATTACATATATATATATATGTGCAAATATATTTCAGCAAAAAATATATATATAGATATA